GCCAGAGGCCCTGCGGAGCCCCTTGTGCAGCCTGCCTGATCTGCTGTCAGGGCTAATATTTTATGCATGGACCCGAGTAAATGGGAACATTTGGAAATGGAAATTGCTGTTAATGACACATCTTTGGAATATATTAAACGTGTGCACGGCTGCTGCTGGCCTCTCAGTTTAATTGCTCCAATGTAAGCACAGCCACGCCACAGCATCAGGAGGAAAGACCACCCTAAGTCCCTTCACCACTGACGGGGAAAGCCCCCCCACCTCACCACCACTTGAGTATTATGCAGGGAACGGAATGTCAGCTGGAATGCCAAGCAATCCGCAGCGTGCCCCTTCCAGACTCATTGCAGATCCAAAGACGATGACCCCTCCCACTCGATGCAGACTTTCTTTTATTAAAAGTAAAATTACTAGATTTATCTATTGTTTGAGGAGAAGAAAAGACAAACAAAGGACTTTTCTCATCCAATGAGTCCAGTGACAATGTCTGTCCCCCAGGCAGGCAGGCAGGCAGGCAGGAAGTCCCTGGGGGCACTTCAGGGTTCAGAGAATTCACGTCTCCAAGATAGTGAGTAAACTTGGTGCACCAAGGTCACAGAGCACAGGCTGTTTCTCCACGCCTGGCGGATCTTAGAGTCAGTTAGCCCATGCCATAGATGGGGCTGAGCAGTGGTGCAGTCCTTTATGGTTTTTAAGGAAGGTGGGAGTGGGGAGGGGGTAAATACGCTGTCCCCAGTATTTGTGACCCGGGAGGAGAGTGGGTTATATTTTACCGAAGAGGAATTTGCTGGGAGCCAGAGAGGCTAAGTGATTTTCCAAGATCACCCATCTGGAGACAGGACTCCTGGCTATATGTTCTTAACATTTCTGCTTATGCTGTCCCATGTCCCTTTAAAAATGACCCATTGTGCCATAGATGACAGATAGTCCATTGAATTGGTCTCCACACCTTTCTGTACAGTGAGGCAAGCTCACTTTCCCCCAAGATTTTGCCAGGACTGTCAGGCTTTTCTCCCCCCCACCCCACAACTCACCTAGTTCCTCTCTTGTTCATGTCTACTTTGAGATAGGGGCTGAGGATGCTAAATATCAGGCCTGAATTGGCTGCTGTTTGCTTCTACTTACTGAAGGCTTGCATTAGCTGTCTCTGTCGTGTGTGTGTGTGTGTGTGTGTGTGTGTGTGTGTGTGTCTGCTGCATCCTGTCAGAGGCTGGAGAGCCGCATAGAGCAGCTGCTGGGTGGGCTAGAACAGTTCTAAAGGTGTCATTCCTGATGTAAGGTCCTCGGGGACTGACTGAGTCCCCTGAGTCTGGCCCCTTCCTGGCTAATGTCTCTTATCACATCTTTGAACAGCAGAGGACTGAGGACTGTAGGTAGGGTCCTGTCCCTATGGGGTGAGGACTTGGAGTCAGACCCACATCTAGTGAGTCAATAGTGTTTCTTTGTCAAGATTTCAAGGGCTGTGGGAACCTGTGTACCCCTAGGGCTGGCTCATAGTAGAAGCTCAGAAAAAATACCTGTCTTCCTTGGATCAAATGGGCTTAGATGCTAGCACCAGGAGGCTGTGAGGAAGCTGTGAGGAAGCTCACAGGCAGCACTCAGACAGTGTTTGTGAAATGAATAAATAAAAACACACTTTTTGAAGAAATTAAGAAACAAGGAAAGGGAGAAACAGTCAGGGAAGACAACATAAATCTCCAGCAATGTTACCAACGCTACAGCCGGGGTTGCTGAAAAGACCCTGTGGAGGTGGTGGGACCATTTGTCATGGGTGAGGACAGGCTTGAGGGCTGGGACGTGGGGCATGATGGAAGCTCGTCCATCATTTTCTCATTATCCCAGCGACGTGGAGGGCAGCTAGCGGATCACAGAACAACAGCCTCCAAATGAAGGTGGCAGGGTTGGGAGTGCGAGGGACCCCGAGGGAGGGCAGGCTGCCCCAGGCCCTGCCCCCTCCAGGAAGCCTTCTCGCTCCAGCCCAACGCACACGATCTCACTTGCCCTCGGATGTTCATCGTGTGATCCTTTATCGACGCTGCTGTGGCGGGGCCCTTGGGAACTTGTTTGCATGTGTGCCTGTGTTTGCCCGGGTTGCTTACAGAGAAGGCTCTGTGAATGCTTTTTGGCCTTGTCTTTCCATTGTAGGCAGGTGACACTGGATTGATCCCCAGGAGTAGATGATGTTCAGAAACTCCACCTACATTTGGGACAGTCCCACTGGGTCAGCTATGGCTGCAACAAGCCCTGAGGCCTGACTTGAAGCCATCAGTGGGACCGGTAAGTGTCTGCCCCTCAGGACTTAAACTTGGTTTCTTTTGGGCTTGGAACAAGGATGGGGTTTTCCCAGGGCACAAGGAGTCCAGAAGTTGTGTAGAAGATAACACATAATGGGGTTGGAGGCACACATCCCAGCCCTGCATCCCCCACCCCTACCCCCCCACCCCAACCCTGCCATCTGCCACTGCTTCTTTTTCTCTAACACTCAAAAATACATGGTTCTGCTCCGCTCTCCTTGGCAGGCAGGGTAGCCAGAGCTGCGGGGCTGCCAAGGCCTGGGGGGGCCGCCAGCCTGCAAAGTTTACTGTACAAACAGTTGGGGGGGGGCGTCTCTGTTAACTCGAAATCCCCATCAGTAAACATGCCAGTTTAAAGTGTAATTAACTCAGGCCGGAAAAGAATTCTGATTTGGACTGCTTTTCACAGTTGAGATTGTTTTTCTTTTATTTATTTATCTCTTTCCGGGTGTGGTGGTGTCTGTGGTGGGTTTTAGCCAGGAAAAATAGAAAGGGGGAGGGCTTGGTGGGATGAACCAGTTAGAAGAGAGGATGAGGGAAGGAAGGGACAAGGGGAGGTGGGCTTGCCACCTGTACAAGCCCCGGTTAGCCATCTATTTTCTGCCCTGGGTGGTGGCTCCTTGCAGATAGAGAGACTCAGCTAGAGTGCACACCAGGGCCACTAGTGAAGGAGGGGCTCAGGTCTCTGTGCCAGCTGGCCAGGTGGCTCGGTGGTTTTGGGGGTGCTGGCATGACCCAGAGAGCTCCTTCTAATGCCTCCTTTGCTTCCGTCTTGCAGGAGCTGCTCTGCTGTGTTTTGTTGCCTTTTCCTCCCTGAATCTCCTGCTTAAGACAATGAAGATGGATGACTGGAGACCATGCCCCGCTGAGAGGACCCACTGGGGGGACCCAGAACCCCGGCCACACCCTGTGCCATCCTCCTCTGAGGCCCCCCACCAATAACCCCCCCTCCCACTGCCCAGCCTTGCAGTTCAGATCTCAGCGTGGATCTGAGCAGCCTTTGCTTAGGAACCTGAGTTGGGGGGTGAGTAGGCAGGCACAGGGGACTGGGTAGAAGAAAAGGTTTCTGCTCTTGGCTTTCGAAGCCTCAATGTGTGGAGCCCTTTGAATAATAAACATATTTCATAAAATGTAAATATGCCTCCGAGTCTGTTTTCAGAGGGACTTTCGTAAACTGGGGATGGGGGTTAGCAGCACCGTCTGGACTGCTTCAGGAGGGACCTCCTGGGATGTCTCTGGCCTCTGTCCTGGAAGCACTTTGCTGAAAGCAACATCCCAAGCAGGGGTTCACAACTGGACTCCTGGCCCCCGTGTGCCAGCCCCACAGTCCGATTAAGGAACCAGGGATGTGAAAAGATACCCTTTCTTATCATCCTGGGGTCTCACATGAACCCCCATTCCAGCTGCTTCTGCATAAGCTGAGCTGAGGCCCCAGGGGCAAAGACCTGTTCCTGAGATCCAGACTGTGCCCACGCGCCTCTTATTGCTGGGCCTCAGCTTGGTCACGACTCAGCCAGGCTGACTCAGACAGAGCCCGAAGACTCATAAATTACATAATTACCCATGAAACCTGCCGCCACCGCTCTCTCCAGCCGGGAGGGACACGCTCCACTCAGGCTCTGGCCGGTGGTGACTCACTGTTTTCCCCAGAGCCTCTGTCCGCCCACCCACACAGCCACCTCATCTGGGCTGCTGGGCAGAAGAAGGGGGGAGCCTGGCCTCATCCCCATTCCCCCTCTTCCTGCTGTCAAGACAAAGGCAGGCAGCCCCTGTCTTGCTGAGGGCTTTGGTGGGGGGCACCTGCCCCTCCAGCATCTCTCTACAGCCCCCTGGTGGCCCTTCTCATAGATGGCTGCATGTCACACAGCAGGAAACTGAGGCTTCGGGAGGCAGGCCAGTCTCCTGTCCCTCCTGTAGGGTGGCTTTGGTTACAGCTTGTCAGGCCAGCAGAGAGAACTGTGAAGTCCCCAGCTACCCTTACCTGCTTCAAGACTTTTAGCCCCTTCCCCAGGGTTCCAAAGTGCCCCTTTGGAAAACGCTCTTCAAAAATGACGGTGCATTCAACAGGCATGAGGTGGTCAGCCCCATGACAGAAGGGACACTCATATCTAGGAGAAATAGCTTAGTCACTGCTTTTCATGCAAGCTTGAAGGCCTGAGCCCAGGGCCCCAGCAGCCACGTCAGTCACAGCAGTATGGACCTGTGCAGTGAACGGCCATAACCCAGCATGCTGGGAAGGCAAGGACAGGGGTCTCTGAGCTCACTGACCAGATCAGCTTAGCCAGATCAGCTTTCGTGAAAGAAATGTCACAAAAAAAATAAAGAAATAAAATAGAGTGGAGAGCCATTCGATGAGATGGCTAAGGATAAAAGTACCCGGCAGCTAAGCCACAGTTTGATTCTCTGGACCAGAGAACAGATTCCAACACATTGTCTTCTGATCTCCTCACGTGCATGCTTATAAATGCACACAAGAGAAGTAAACAAATGCAAAAAACGCTCTCTAAAAGTGGAGGGTCATAGAAGGCACCCCATGTCAACCTCTAGCCTCCACATGCACGCACATGCATTCACACACACATAACTAGACAATAAAATGGTGTCTGACGCTGGAGAGATGGCTCAATGGTCACAAGCACATCTTGCCTCAGAAGATCCTGGTTCGATTCCCAGCACCCACATGAAATAAAAGTAAACAAATCTTTTGAAAAATGAACAAATGCATGAATAAATAAATGAAATGGTGTGTGATGGTATAGTCTATGTTTCAAAATCTGCCTGTGTCACTGATTAATGGTAACTGTGGCTTTCTAATCTCTGAGCCTCAGTTACCTTAGCTACAAATTAGGTTCAAGCTCACAGTCTGCCAAAGTAGGAAGAGGGGTGGGGTTAGCAGCGCTTTGGGCTCTCTTGAATTGGGAGATCCTCCAAGGCTCTACCTTTAAGGCTCTCATTGAATTGAGGACTCCCCCGCCCCCGCAAGTCTCTAATTGAATTGGGAGCTCCCTCTAAGGCTCTCATGGAGTTGAGAGCTTCTTCCATGGCTCTCATTGAGTGAGAAGATACCTCTGAGGTGCTCATTGAGTTGGGGACTCCCTCCAAGGATCTCATTGAGTTGGGGGCTCCCTGTAAGGTTCTCAGTAAGTTTGAGGAAGCCTTTAAGGCTCTCATTGAGTAGGGGGCTCCCAATAAGTCTATCATTGAGTTGGGGACTACATCCAAGGATCTTATTGACCTGGGGGCTCTCTCCAAGGCTCACATTGAATTGGGGTCCCCCCTCCAAGGCTCTCACTGACTTTGGGGAACCCTCTAAGACTCTCATTGAGTAGGGGGGTTCCCAAATAGGCTATCATTGAGTTGAAGACTTACACCAAGGCTCTCATTGAGTTAGGGGCTCCCTCTAAGACTCTTGCTGAGTTTGGGGCTCCCTCTAAGGCTATCATTGAGTTGAGGGCTCCCTCCAAGGCCCTCCAAGTTAAGGGCTCATCTAAGTCTCTCATTGAACTGGTGTCTCCCTCCAAGACTCTGAGTTGAGTGCTCCCTCAAAAGTTGTCATTAAGTTGGGGGCTACCTCCAAGGATCTCACTGAGTTGAGGGCTCCCTGATAGGCTCTAATTCAGTTGTGTGCTCCTTCTAAGGCTCTTATTGAGTAGGGGACTCCCTGCATGCCTCTCATTGAGTTAGGGGCTCCATCTAAGATTTTTATTGAATTAGGGGCTCCCTCCAAGGCTCTCATTGATTTGGGAACTCACTCCAAGGTTCTCATTGAATTGGAGGCTCACTCAAAGGCTGTCATTGAGTTGGGAGCTACCTGCATGGCTCTCATTGAATAAGGGGATCAATCTGATGCTCTCATTGAGTTTGGGGACTCACTTGAAGATTCTCGTTGAGTTGGGGGCTCCCTCTAAGATTCTCATTGAATTCTGGGCACCTTCTAATGCTCTCATTGAGTAGGGGGACTCCCAATAATGCTAGCATTGAGTTGGAAACTCCATCCAAGGTAATAATGAGTTGGGGGCTCACTATAAGGTTTTCTCTGAGTTAGGGTCTCCCTCCAAGGTTCTTATTAAGTTGGGACACCCTCCAAGGCTTTTACAGAGATGGGGCTCCCTCTGAGGCTCTCATTGAGTTGGTGACTACCTACAAGGCTCTTGTTGAGTTGGGGGGAATCACTCCATAGCTCTGACAGAGTTAGGGAATCCCTCTATGGCTCTCATTGAGTTTGGGGCTCCAACCACAGCTCTCATTGAGTTAGAGTCTCCCTTTAAGACTCTCATTGAGCCGCAGGGCTCTCTCCAAGTCTGTCATTGAGTTAGGGGCTCCCTGTAGGACTCTCATTGAGTTGAGGTCCCCCTATAGGCTCTCATTGAGTTGGGGGTTCCATCCAAGGCTCTCATTGAGTTGGGACTCTCTCCAGGGCTCTAATTGAGTTGGGGGTCCCTCAAAGGCTGTCATTGAGTTAGGGGCTATTTCTATGGTTCTCATTGTGTTGTGGGCTCCATCCACAGCTCTCAATGAGTTGGAGAATCCCTCCAAGGATCTCACTGAGTTAGGGGAATCACTGAAAAGATCTCATTCAGTTGTGGGCTCCCTCCAAGGCTCTTTTTTAGTAGGGAACTCACTCCAAGGATATCATTGAGTAGGGGTTTCCCTCCAGGCCTATCATTGAGTTGGGGGCTCCTTCTAAGCATCTCATTGAATCAGGGCTCCCAATAAGTCTATCATGTTTTGGTGGCTCCCTCCATGGCTTTTGTTGAGTTAGGATTTCCTTCAAGGCTCTCATTCAATTGGATTCTTTCTCCAAGGCTTTAACTGAGTTGGGAACTCTCTCTAAACTTTCATTGAGTTGGGGGCTCCCAATAAGGCTCTCATTGAGCAAGGGGTTCCCTCTAAGGCGCTCACTCAGTTGAGGGCTCTTTTTAAGGCTCTCATTGAGTTTGGGACTCCATCTATGGATCTCATTGAGTTGACTTGTGGATTCTCTCCAAGGCTATCATTGAATTGCAGGTCCCTCTATAGATCTCATTGAGTTAAGCTCTCCCTCTAAGGCACACATTGAGTGAGGACTCCCTCTAAGGTTCTTCATTGAGTTGGGGGCCCCCTTCAAGGCTCTCAGTGAATTTGAGGTTCCCTCCAAGGATCCTATTGGGTTGAAGGCTCCATCTAAGGCTCTAATTTGGATAGGGGGCTCCCTCTAAGGCTAACATTGAGTTAGGGGTTTCCACCAAGCCTTTCATTGAGTAGGGACTCCCAGAAAGGCTATCATGTGTTGGAGGCTCCCTCTAAGTCTCTCATTGGGCTGGGGAATCCCTCTGAGACTCTTGCTGATTTTTGGGACTCCCCCCAAGGCTCTCATTGCCTAAGGAGACCTTCCAAGGATTTTACTGAGTTGGGGGCTCCCTCTAAGGCTGTCATCAGTTCCAGAGATCCCTCCAAGGCTCTCAGTGAGTTCAGGTCTTCCTCTAAGGCTCTCATTGGGTTTGCAGCTCCCTTGATTGGTCTCCTTAAGTTGGGTGCTCCCCCTAAGGCTTTTGTTAAGTTTTGGGCTCCCTCAAGACTTTTACTGAGTTGGGGGCTCTCTCTGAGGCTCTCATTGAGTTGGAGGATCCCTCTAAAGTTCTCATTGAGTTAGGGGTTCCTGCCTAGGCTCTTCTTAATTTGGGAGCTCCCTTTAATGCTCTTATTGAGTTGGGGGCTCTTTCCAAGGATTTTACTGATTTGGGGGCTCCCTCTAAGACTCTTGTTGAGTTGGGGATTCCCTCTAAGGCTCTCATTGATTTGGGGGCTCTCTCCAAAGCTCTTTTTGAATTGACAGTTCCCTCTAAAGCTCTTATTAAGCTTGCAAAACACTCTGGATATCATAGACTGTTATAACTCCTGCCCCTCAGTCCAGAAATAAACACCTGTGGTCCCTGATTCCTTTCTCTTGAACACAGCCACATTTCATGCTTTCCTATATCCAGTGGCTGTGTACTTACTCCCTAGATGTCTTCCCATATGTCCTAGAAATTTTCAGAAGCCCTCAAACAGAAAATACACTATGCTCCAACCAGCATCTTGTTCCAAGTAAACCTCCTTGATGGATTCTAGAGGAACAGAAGGTCATCAGGAGTGGAACTGGGCCATCCAAGAGACC